AAAAAAGACATTTCAATCTATTGTTGTTGGTGTTTTTAATGTTAAAACATTTATCATCTTGTYTTATTTGGAACTTCTACCATAAATTAATTAAAACAAGACAAAATACAAATAAATATCCACAGCTTAAAATGTGTTTGTTGCCCCTTTTTTTTTTTTTGCACTGATGACTTAGCTGTTAGGAAGCAGAAATAATGCACTTCTTCAAAGCTGTGTGACTCAGCTAAGTGTCTGAAAAGAGATCATTTTCTGTCATTTTCTCATCATTTGCATCATCTTTTTGCATGAGAGTTTATCCTAATGATTTGTGCAGCTTTAACCGTCATTGCAGCTCAGTCTGACACAGCATGTGTTTGACCTATAGAGGTGAGTGCTGAGGAAATATAGAAGGAAACCGTGAAAAGTTTTTTTTTTTTTTACAAATTGCATAAATCAGAATACTGCTCTTCTTTACAAAACATCGGCTAAAATTTTCTGCTAACTGGGTGTAATAGTGTAAAACTGCAAAAACTGTAATTCAAGTTTACTAATTAAAGGGCCTAAACCAGGTGTGACGGTTTCATGAAATCAAAGTCTAGCGTGCCGGACAGGTCTCCCTCTTGACATATAATATTATTCTTTATTATTACCCTTAAAACACAAAAACCTCACAAAAGGATGCAAACATTGAACAGTTCTCATCACCTTAAACATTAAGTGAAACAAACACAAGCATCTGTCAAAAAAACTCAATTGTATTGTAACAATAGGAAAAACCAATGATRACACCACAATGATTTGTGTCTAAACTTAAAGAAATTAGGGCAAGAGTTCAGTTCGGTTTGGTTCCAAAGAAGCCCAAAAGATAAACTCCACACTTTTTTTTCTGTCACAAGTCCAGAYGAAACAACAAAAACTGGCTCCTCCAAATCTGAGCTCAGCCGCTCAATAAAAGTCAAAGCTGGACAAGCAGCCACAGATACAGGTGATTGAATTCCCTGTACCTGTAAGGAGCTTCTCTGCCATGAAGATCCTCAGAGAAATGTCCCTGTGGTGCTGGTAATGAACGTCCTGTCACTCCTCCTTGATCCACAGGGAAAACCTCCTCCACCTTCACAGATCAGTTTTCTTCACCTTCATACAAAGAGAAGCTTTTGGGTCACACCCACCCCCATAACAGAAGAGCAAAAAGTTGGGGGTGTGGCTACAAGTTTGGTTGTGAACAATATCTAATGGGGAGTGTTCCATCTGTCACACGGTGATTGGTAACTTAATGGATGGAAAGGGCCTCTTTTTTTATAAACACACTTTTTCTGTATTGGTCACATGACTTTTTTTTGCTTAAAGTGACACACGCACCAATACAGGGTTTCACTCTTGTGTGCTCAGCATAGTGCTGACGCACCAGGGTTGTTCATCCCATCYCTATTTGGGGGTTCTTTGCAGTATCTTAGCTGACTGAACTTTTCTGAACTTAAATGTCAGCTGTTTCTCCAGGTATCTGTTGGAGACACTTATTCAGTGTGTGTGTGGGGGGGGTGGACGGGGTGGACGGGGTG